TTCCCCTTCACAACTTTCTTCAGTATTTCTTTTGGTGCTGTTATTAAATTATCTTGGTGGTTGTTTGTCTGAAATAAACTTTATTTTTTCTTAATTTTAAGATATATTTGCTGAATATAGAATCCTAAGTTGGCAGTTATTTTCTTTTAGCACTTTAAAAAATATCAACTTAATGACAACAAAAGCATGAGTAACAAAAGACAAAATACATAAATGGCACCTCGTAAAAATTAAATACTTTTGTTCATCAAATGACTTTATCAACAAAGCAAATAGACAACCAACAGATTTAGAGAAAATTTTCAGGAGCCATATATCTTACAAGGGTCTAATACCAAATATATATATACACCGTCTCCTTACTTATTGACATGGCTAGGTTCCAAAGACCAGGTCATTATGCAAGACTGGTATTATGCGAAAACGAAGGATGACGACATCAGATCACAAAATGGAGGATGACAACATCATTACATAACAGCCAAACCACTGGGAATCATGGCCCAGCCAAGTTGACATATAACCTTAACCATCAAAGCTGGCATTACTCTCACCTTTTTTTTTTTTTTTTTGAACTACCAACCTTCAGGCTAGTAGCAAGTGTAAAGTGTTTGTGCCACCCAGGAACCTCATTAGCCATTAGGGAGATGAAAATTGAAACCACAATGTGATATCACCTCACCCCCATTAAAATGGCAATGATCAAAAAAATGGAAAACAAGAGGTATTGGAGAGGATATGGAGAAACTGGAACCTTCATCCACTGTTGGTGGAAATGCAAAATGGTACAGCTGTTGTGGAAAACAGTTTGGCAGTTCCTCAAAAAATTAAACATAGAACTACCATATGACTCAGCAATCCCGATTCTAGGTATATACCCAAAAGAAGCGAAAGTGGGAATGCAAATAGAAACCTGTACACCAATGTTCATTGCAGCACTTTTCACAATAGCCAAAAGGTGGAAACAACTGAAATTCCATCAACAGATGAATGGATAAAATTTGGTACATACATACAATTGAGTATTACTTAGCCATAAAGATAAGTGAAGTCCCAATGCATGCCACACATGAATGAACCTTGAAAACATTTTGCTGAGCAAAATAAGTTACTCATAAAAGGACAAATACTGTATAATCTCACTTATATGAAATACACAAATGTATAGAAATCAAAGCTTATTAGCAGTCACTGGGATGGAAGAGAGAGAGGGAAGGGAGGCACTAATTCTTGTTAATGGTGGTGGAATAATTAGAAAAAAGTTAGAGATGGGGTTGCACAACAGGAAAAGAGTAATCAAAGTCATTGAATGGTACATGTAGGAATTGTTAAATTGGTAAATGTTTTGTTGTGTATATTTTCACCACAATTTGAAAAGAAGACATCTATTATCTTATGACTTCCATAGTTTCTGTAGAAAAGTCATCGTATAATTCTTATTGGTATGCCTTTTAAAAGTAATACATCTTTTTTCTCTGGCTAGTTTGGGATTTTTACCTTTGTCTTTGATTTTCAGCACTTTTCTCTAATGAACCTAAGTGTGACATTCTTTCTATTTATCCTACTTGAGCATTTGTAGAACAGGCTTGAATCAGTACTGTGATATCTTGTCAGTTTGCAAAACTCTCAGCCATTATCTCTTTGAATATTGCTTCTGCCCCAATTCCTCTCCGTTCTTCTTTTAGAATTCCAAATGGGCATACATTAGAAAATTTTCATTATGTCTCAAATGTCTCTTAAGCTCTTTTTTATATTTCTCATAATTTTTTCTCTCTGCTTCAATGTGGATATTTTTGGCAATCATCTAGTTCTTTAATTCTTTCTTCTGCTCATAATCACACCTATTAATTTCTAGTATCGGTTACTGTATTTTTCAGTTCTAAAACTTGAATTTAATTTTTTATTATAGATTACATTTCTCTGAAGTAATTCCATCTTTTTAATCTATTTTTGAACACGTTAATCATACTTATTTTAAAGTCAATGTCTGATACCTCCAATATCTGGATAATCCGTGGGTCTGGACTATAATTTGTTGGTTTATTGGTTTTTGTTTTGTTTTGCTTTGATTTGATTTTTTGGCTTACTATCATTTCGTCCTGTCTCCTGGCATACTTGGTAATTTTTTATTGATTGCTGGACATTGTGAATGAAAACTTACAGAGGCTCTTAATGATATCGTCTTCCTCCAAAGAATATTTAATTTTCTTTTGTTAGGCCATTCAGATATAGGCAGATGACCCTCTCCAGTCAGGAATTATGAGTAATTCAGGCTGGATTTCAGGACTTGTGTAAACTAGACTATGTTTTGTTTGTCCTTACACATAAGATGTCTTAGAACCCCTCCTCCTAGACAGAATCTCAACTCTGTTTTTTTTCTCTCCCGTAATATAAGACTTCTAAAATCACTGTTTACCTCTGTAATCTTTTAGCTGTTATTTTCCACTTGTTTTCTTGGCCACTGGCCCTGAGAATGCATAGTTTAAAAATTAGCAGCTATCTTAAGAGAAAATTATGAGCAGAATATTAGGCTCACATTTCTGTGATTTTTATTTCTTTGGGGTCTTGGTCCCTCAAGTCTTGGTTTCCCTGGAAGACCTGAACTCTAATTTTTGTCTCCTCAGTAGTGAGACTGATGCAAGAGACTGTTGTTCTCTATTCTATCTCTATTTCCTTTACTGAGAACTTGGCAATTTCCCTGAAAATAGATGAGATGGATTGACACAGTGGCTACAACAATGGGCTCAAATACAGCAACGGTCATGAAGATCATGAAGATGGCGCAGGACCGAGCAGTGTTTCATTCTGTTATATATGGGGTCACTATGAGTTGGAACTGACTCAATGGCACCTAACAACAACAATAATAACTGTAGGTTAAATATGAGGCTCACTTCAATGCATTTTTCTTTTCTCTGGGATTAGGCCCCTCAAGTCATTGCTTCCTTGGCTGATGTCTGATGCCTTCAAAGAGCCAATTTTGAGGGAATTTGTTGTTGCTGTTGTTGGCTGCCATTGAGCTGATTCCAACTCCTAGTGACCCCATGTGACAGAGTAGAACTGCCCCATAGGGTTTTCTTGGATGCAATTTTTACAGAAGCAGATCACCAGGTCTTTCTTCCACAGAGCCAGGGGGTGGGTTTAAACTGCTAACCTTCCAGTTAGCAGCTGAGCGATTAATCGTTGCTCTACCAGGGCTCCTACATGATAGACCTAGGGCTACCTGGGTAAACCTTGTTGGCAGGAGCCTGCTCACACACCTTCTCAAAAAGTTATCCTTAGGGATTGAGGTGTCTATCAATTTGCAGGTATTTTCTTACATTGCTCCTTCTGCTCCCTCTGCCACTGTTGTTTTCTGTGTAGATAATTCAAGACACCCAACCTCACCATAAATAGATTATTGGAAGATGACCTTTTAGTCTACCCTTTACTGTCACAAATATTAGAATGACTCAGCTGGGAAGTACAGGGGTATCTCCAGTTGACCTGAGCAGCTTGAAAATATATGACTGAAACAAATAGCCTTTCCCCATTAGCCCTATTGAATACCTTTTAGCATTTTTCCTGAAACTACAGGTCATGTAATGTAGGCTACAATTTATAAGGCTTTTTTTTTTTTTTTTTGGTCAGGTCCAACAAAATGCCTCATTCCACCCAGCGACACTTCTTTCCCTAGTTATCTACTTACAATAATTGCAGATAAACCTGAATATACCCCTGAAGATACCAGGTTCTTATTTGGTGAAATAAGTCATCAACACATGCAAACTCCTGCCTTGGTAGCCTCAGGTCACCACTAGCATCATACGTTTCTGGCTTTTCATGTACTGAGAACTGTAAATACAAATTTAAGTGATAAAAGACTGAAGGACTCTAAAACTGATCAGATGGGGGCCATGCAGGCTAGCAAAGCACTCAGTTTGGATCAGCACGTGTTCAAATTTTCATTATCTCCTCCACTACCTAATATATACACGTATAAAACCCCTTCTGCAACTTGACCTGATTCACCTTAGGGCTTTTCATGTTCTGGTTCCCTCTTAGTAGCAACAATATTTTTTCATCTATGCTAAGCTACTACTCACTCCCCAATCCACAACCCAAGCTGCCCTGTGGACACTTGCTCATATTTTCTTTGATTATCAATTCAATATGTTCTCGCCTCCACTTCACAATGTTCCCATCCTACATCGGCTTAACATATGCAGCTATATATGAGCCCTCCGTCAATTTATTCCAGTTTCATATTCGATTACTAAGAAGATTAACCCTGCATAACCTCTTTTAAATCATTTATAACATTGTTGCTGGTCTTTATAATCATTCTCTTTGCAACATGAAAGATTCCTCCTAATTATGGTAATTCAGTTTTTAAATAATTTTCTGTAGACTCCTACTCAAGACTCTTTGAAAGTATATACAAACTATATTTAACACTTTTTTTTCATGCGTTGATTAAACTGATTTAATGACTCTTATTGACTGGTCAGTAAGATTCCCTTTATAATATTGATAATATATGATAAAAGGGATTAGTATTACAGTGTCCAACCTTCTCCTAGGTGAACTGGCAAGCCTGCTCACCAGGCTGAATTTCCCACGATCTCCTCAAGAGCCCAATCCACGCAAGAAGCCCAACCAGTCTTCTGGCACAGTGATTATTATAAAGTAGGTTTCAAAGTATAGCCATCTTCTTGCTAGTTTGCCCCTTAAGGCTGTCTACTTAAATGGATCTTATTCCATGCAGCAGTTTATTTAGATCTAGATTATAAAATCTGTCTAGAACATCCTGGGTATTTGCCACTGTTTTCTCTAATGTCTCTTACTTGTCTGCATTGAAACATTTTGATAGACTCTCCCAAAAGCCATTCTCAGCCCAAAGCAACCAATTTATGGAGTAAATTTATGCTTTTTCTTCTTTTTTTCCCCCAAATGTGATTTCACAAACCTCTTCATATCTCCTTGTTTTTCCTACCATATTTGGCCTTCGCTTCACTTACCCAGGTGACTAGTGGCTTCCTTGTCCCAGGGCCAGGTGGCTGCACCTGCAAGGTCTTCCCGAACTGAGCTGGCAAAGTAGACATTCAGAAAGTGAGTACTGTTGAGCTGCAGGGCCTCCTTCAACTCCTTCACACTCATGTATGCCCTGGAGGTACAAGAAGAGAAAGTATCACACCAAGGGATCAGTACTTAGAGAAAAACAGAACCATATCTAATCAGACTCTGACACTCCCAATCAGCATTGTCTTTTGGATTGGCAGAGAGACAAAGACCAAGCTGTCATGAGGACTAGCACCTACAACCAAAACAGTTGCCAGTGCTCACCCTGAGATCATGGGAAATGGTTAATATACACTTCTCTCATCTACATCTATTCCAAGAAGCTAAAAAGGGCAAGATACTATTTATCTTTGCTATATTGAGTCGCTATAGGGTCGCTATGAGTCAGAACCAACTCGACTGAACCTAACAACAACAATAATATCCCAAATGCATATTCGTGCTTTTTCTCTTTAGTGAGAAAAATAAGGTACAAAGTAATAAAATGATAAACTCAAGTCTTTGTTCCAATCATTTTTGTTTGATTATGGAGATGACGAGTATTTCACTTTGTATTAACAACAATAACAAAACCAATAATAACTAAGGTTTATTGAACAATTACTATATGCTGACCCATATATGCATTGTATCATTTTAATTCTCACAATTCTATAGGGTAGCAAATACTATTGTTCCTATTATATATATGAGGAAATTTATTTTTAGAGAAATTAGTTTACCCAAGTTCTCAAAGTTAATAAGTAGAAGAGTTAGACTTAAACACTGGACTCTTGAAATACCAGGTTCCAGCTCTTAAACTGCCGGAATATCTGTATAATCACTAAGTATTTGATATCATACCCAATTCCCCACTATAAACCAAACAACAAAACAAAACAAAAAAACCCAAACCTGTTGCCATCAAGTCAATTCTGACGCATAGTGACCCTATAGGACAGAGTAGAACTGCCCATAGGGTTTTCAACTGCCACTTGCTGACCTTTTTTGCTAAGCAGCCGAGCTCTTAATCACTGCACCACCAGGGCTCCTTCCCGACTCTACACACAGATTATTTCTTCAAGATAAGCCAATCCTTTGCCTTGAGAATTACCCCAAGCCATGGTGAAGAACTCCTTCCATCTCTCAGTCCCTGGTTCTTTCCATCACACTGCATGACCTCTACTATGATAAGAAGTTCAATTGAATGTCAATTTCAGCTTATGCTTACTTTGGGCCTTACTTTTTTAAAGAAAAAAAGGAAATAGTGGTTAGGAAACATAAAGGAGAAAAAAAAAGAAATGAGTGTTATATCGGAGAGGATATCATAAATCTATGGAAAAAATTGCTAATTGCAAATGCATTTCTCTTCCTGGTCCATAAACTCATAAAAACTCTACCTCTACTCTTACTACCTTAAGATACTCACCTAGTACCTTTCTTGGTGGCCTTCAAAGCACTAGGCAATATTATATTTGCACTTACGAAGAGAATTAAAGGTATGTTAAAAACACATGCCCCATAGCCCTATAAAAACAACAATAAACATTTGGTTTCTTTATAAGCTCATATATAGTTAAAGACCTTCATCTTCCTGGCATCAGTCAAACTTAAAACTTTACCATGAGCAAGTAGAGCTTCCGCCTTCTCACTGAAGAGCTATTTTAAGAAGAAACAACTAAACCAGAACTCAGTGGCCTCCTAGACTCACTGGATGCTTCCCACAGTGTCATTCCAAAGAGAGGAATGTTCCCATCACAGCTTTAACTGGACAGACAGCTCCTTCAACCTAAGCTGGAAATTTCCTTTATAGATTAGACTTCATTGTTGCTATTCTGGTAGACAAGCTGCAGAGACTGAAATTTCCCAACCCAGAAGCTAATGTTTGGACAGCACGACCCTTCTTCTCGTTTGCTCTGCTTCTCCTCTTTGTCTCCCAACCACACTGTTGATGCCATCTATTTAATCCACGTGTAGGATGTACTGGCCAAGAGCACTCGATAAATAAAGAGATTTCAAAGAAGATTGTTATTGTATTTTTTGGAACAGAACCAAAAAGTGGAATCATAGTAAAGAAACAACAAAAGGCCTTGCTTTAGAAGCAAAGAAGCCTGGGAGAAAGGGCTTTAAAAATACTATTTAACTTATAATATCTTGCAAAAATTCTCAGCCACAACGAATCATCCAAATTCCATGAGGTAATAACAGATGTGATCAGAGGGATATTCCTTCTGCTGATTTCCTGGATACACACTGTTTTTGGGTTGTCGCCTGGTTTTCCCTGGACATTAGTCATATTCCCTTTCATTAAAATTAATGACAATTTCCTTTACTGACAAATTGATGGTTTAGGGCCATGATGACATTAAGCAAACTCTTCAACATGGAGATGTTTCAATAGGCCAGGAAAGGAAGAGAGAGATAGAGAAAGAAGGAAGGGAGGAAGGGGAAAAAAAGGGTGAGGAAGGAAAGACAAAGTAAGGAGGAAGGAAAGAAAAAAGGAGAGGAAGGAAGGGAAGGAGGGAGCAAAGGAGGAAGGAATGAAAAGGAAGAGGGAAAGAAAAAAGGGAGAGGAAGTCAGGGATAGAGCCTTTGCTCAACTCAGGGCACCAATGAAGAAAAGTTGCACCCCTTCTCCGCTCCGATTTTAGGCTTCCAATTAAACTGAAGAGCTGGTAACTTGACAGTTTCCTCTCTTTTCTCCTCCCTCCCTTTCCCCAAACCTTCCTGACCCTGGCATAGTGTACTTGGGCTTTCTGTGAAATACTGCCTTCTCTGTCTATCAACTATCAATCTTGGCCACCACCTTTCTGTCCTCCCTCAACCCATCAGTTCCATTAATTTTTCTTGAGCACTTTCCAAGAGGCCTCCTCCTCCATCACCATCTCATTAGCTGATTCTACTCATCTCCCTCTTCCTCCTTGCCCAATCCTCTCTCCAGTCATAAATTACCTTTCCAGATAAAAGTGTTTATGTCATGCTGGTGGCAAATCAGGTAGGATCATTAGACTCCTGCACTCCACAGAAATATAGATAGAAGTCAACGAGTAATCGGGAGAGAATGAAAATAAAAAATCTAGAGCCAGTTGGAAACAGCCATTAATTAATAGAGGAAAGTCTTATTTTGTTGGAAACAAAGACTGTTATCCAGATATTCTCTAACCCAAAGAGGATAAAAGTGTAGATGTCATTCGCATGCAGAATGCCAAGCCCTGGTGGTGCAGTGGTTAGAGCTCAGCTGCTAACCAAAAAGTTTGAATCCACTAGCTGCTCCATGGAAGACCTACAGGGCAGTTCTACTCTGTCCTATAGGGTTGCTATGAGTCGGAATAGACTCAACGGCAATAGGTATTAAAATACAAGTACACCAGTTCAGAAGTTAATCAGAGTTGACAAAGATAAATGTCTTAGCTTGCCAGCTAATGTGACCAGAGCTGGGCTTAAAATTGGGTTAGGAAAGAATGGATACTATTCTTAAGCTCTGAGCTTAACATCTTGCTTTAAAACTCATTTATTAAGAGAGAGATTCACCATCCAAAAGAGATTAATTCACAGCGGAAAGTAAAATGACATAAGCAAATGCAGTAAAAAGAACAAGGATCTGGAACTGACCAGAACTATGTACGAAAAAGGGAATGAATTGCAGCAGCCTGCTAAATTCCTGCTAGGATTCACCTTTACCTATGCCCTCCACACTCTAGATAGAGATATTCACGACTTCTCCCTGAAGAACTCAGACAGACCAAAGTGAACTTGCATCTTCATTTTTATAAAACTTGCTTCAGAAACAAGCTCTCCTGGGGGCTGTCATATCAAGTTGTTCCACCCCCATTGCTCAGGCCTTCTGTTTCTGACATGCACCCCGGAAGAATGCATACCTGTCTTACTACTCTACGACTGTAATCTACTGGTTTGGGACAACTCATTGCCTGGTTTTCAGCCCACCATGTTTCGCTGTCCCATAGACTTAGTGTGTTCACTCTGATTTCTGCCACACTCCCTGACTAGTGACTCTATCCATACCCCAAGTACCTAAGTATACATATACACCCAACTCTTACTTAGCTTCTGACTAGCCCTTGAAGACAAGGCAAAAGGACATAAAGAATGTCCCTTAGTGCACTAGTTTATTAGCAAATTGAATATGTCCTTTATAGACTGATTGAAATAATTCAAGAATGAAGTCACAAAGAAGAAAAAGATCCTGAAGTGTCTTAAGGATGTTAAAGCCAATATCAAAAAATGCCATGCTGATTTGAAAACCTAGAGGAAATGGGCAAATTTCTAGGAACACACTACCAAAGTAAACTAACACAAACAAAGGTAGAACAACTAAATAAACCTATAACAAAAGAAGAGATTGAAAATGTAATATAAAAACTCCCAACAAAAAAAAAGCCCTGGCCCAGATGGCTTCACTGGAGAATTCTACCAAACTTTCAGAGAAGAGTTAACACCACTACTACTAA